GCAGCCTGGTCATCTTATTCCCAGAGAGATCGAGCACCCTCAGCCTGGTGAGGTTGCTGACGTACCAGCCTGCCATGTGGCTCTCCAGGTTATTTGCCGACAGGTCCAGGACCTCGATATTCCTGAGCAGGTGAAAGGCTCGCCCGTTAGCGAGGTAATTGCGGTCTAGGTGGTTCGATCCCAGGAGGAGCGAGCGCAGCTGGGGTAGCTGAGCCAGGGTCGTGGCTGACACAGCTTCCAGCTGGTTGAAGCACACGTCCAGGGACTCAAGCTGCCCAAACCCTGACATGTAGCTGCCCGATAGGTTTTGGATGAAGTTGTTGGAGAGCTCGAGGTACTTAACTCCTTGGCTAAGCTCCTTTGGAAACTTGCGTAGGCCAACTCCTTTGCAAGACACCTTCGTGGGGCTCTACAGAGAGAGAGGAGAAGCCATCAGCATGAGAGGGGCTACAAACCACAGCTCCAGCCAAGCCATCTGCTGTCCAAGATGGGCACGAGCAACACGGAAATGAGCACCGCTCCCCCTTTTCCCAGCCCCGGATGGGAAGGAGCCACACCACCTGACAGCCCTGCTCGGAGACAAGGAGCGTGTCCCCAGGGTTAAGGTGGGCTTTCCAAGACTCTGGCCGACACTGCCAAGTTGTTTCTGATGGCGCAAGGAGAAGGCTTATTCTCTGGCTGTCCTCCCATGCGTCCCAGCAAGCAAGACGGGCAAAAAAAGTAGCGTAAGCACTGAAGATGCAACGGGCTGGTGGGGCAAATCCAGCCTCTGGAGGGCACTGGGACTGGTCCAGAGCATCCCTGTCCTGCCTGGGCAGAGGAGGGGCACTGTCCTGGTGGGCTCCATCTTCCCTCTCTCCAAATTGGTTTCCTCTGCCAGTTTGGAGTTGGGAGCCTGGACTGCCTTGCTAACACCCCTGGCAGCTGTCTGAATCCCCGTGAGACCCTGCACTCCATCCTGCCTCTTAGCAAGCATCTCGAGCTGACAGCCCCAAGGCAGGGACTGCTGGAAGGTGCCACCGGCACGGCAGGGACACGGGAGCAGCTGGGTGCTAGGGACCGGCTAGCCGGAGCCCGGCTCGGAGACAGGAGAGCAGAGAGGGGATCGAAGCTGGGAAGTTTAAAGAGATGGAGGCTGGGGAGGAGACGCACCCCGCGCCGCGCAGAGGGATGCTGGCAGCCCCGCTTGGACCCAGCGATGCTGCTGGGGCCATCCCGGCCCAGGGGCTCCTCGGGAAGCAGCCTTACCTGCTGGCACGGCGTGGACCTGGGCCTCGCCTCCCCGTTAGACTGGGCTCTGAGAATAGACGGGAGCAGCCAGAGCAGCAAGCATCCTCTTTCAGCCAGCCGGTGTTCAAACAAGAGCATGTTGGGCTGCGGGCGCTGCCAGCCCTGACCCGCTCCTCCAGTGCTCTCTGGCAAGCTGGGCAGGAGCCAGGCTCTGTATAAATAGGCTTCAGGATGGTATGGGGGAAGGAGATAACGCATGTGGGTGTTCGTAGCTACGGAAGTGGGAAAAGAAAGACATAAGATTGCAGAGGGGGAAAAACAGTGCGCGAAGCCACAAGGAAGGGA